CCCATCCAGACAGGTTCACAAAGACCCACAGGGCTCAGCAGTAGCACAGAGAATCTGCCATGTGCTCTGGGCCACACACTTCCCTTGGGTATGAGACCACAGCTCCAGGAAGCAAGAATCTGTGTTTTTAATAAACAACCTACTTCTCCTTCCCCCTCACTCCCCTCCCCAGGCTTCCCTCTCGGTCCCTTGCCCCATTCTTCTTTATCATCTGGCGGTTTCCTGGCTGACCTCTAGCTTTCACAATCACTCATGGGCTCCCTGCTCCCTGCTCCAGACTGCCGTGTGCCCCACGGGAGGTGAGGCCCGGTGGCACCGGGCCTGTCCCTGATCACCTACGGGCTCTGGCAAGTAAGCACTGCCCCTGCTAGCCTTCTAGGGAAGGAGGCTGCAGCCCCCGAGGCCCCCCAGGATTGTGGGCATCAGACACACAATCAGACATGAGACAAGCAGACGATGAAACTGCGTGCATTCTAATGACTAACGATTCTTAAACTGTTGTGTTAAAAAAAAGTATGTGGAGGACTTCCAAAATGGAATGTGAAAAAAAAAAAAAAAAAAGAAAATCCTTCTCGGAATGAGCAAAACTGTTCTGAATCTCCAGCAGCCCCCACAGGTTCCCACCCTCTGGGCGGGTCTTCAGAGGAAACTCAAGCTTGAGGACTGGGATGCCCATGGAGGGCCGAACCAAAACCATTCATTCCCAGGCCTCTCCTCTCGGGTGTCTCTCCACCTCTTGTAATTGGCCGGGGAGAGACAACCTTGACAAGAATGGCCTGGATATAGGCACGGCCAAGGCTCCTTAAGCTTTCCCACTCCCTGAGGATCCCCATGGACCACAGGGACATCAGGCTAGAATGACTTTATGTCTCAGTTTGCCCAGAACAGTCCTGGTTTATGGCCCGGGTTAATTACCATAGATCCTCTCGCTCTCAGAAATGCCCCAGTTTGGATCATACATTATTTCATGACCCAACCTCGAACCAATAGGAAACAGGACACCTACACGCACGGGCCCCTCGGTGTTCCCTGAGCCCAGCAAATGGGATGGCATCCATATAGTTCCCAAACACAGCCACCCCAGGCCCATAGTTGACTCCTCTCTGCTGAGACCCACAACGCTATAATGATCTCTTGATGCTCCCCCTTCTGTCCCCACCACCGGTAATCTATTTCAGGTGCTATCTCCCCCGCCACCCAAAGAATTACAACAGCCCACTCTGGGTTCTCCCTGGCCTGAGCCTCGCCTCTCCACTGTCCAATCCACAGTTCTGCCAGTGATCTTTTCAAAACAGAAAGAGGTCATACCCTACTCACAAATGTCCAGTGACTGTCCACTACCTACACAATGAAATCAAGATCATCCTGTGACCTGCTCGCTGCTACCTTTCCTGTTTCCTTTCCTGCCACCCGCTTCCCACCCTGGGCTTTGGTCACACTGGGCCCATGTCCTGCTGCTCTATTTCACCTTCCAGCTCCTTCCGGGACCTGCACTTCAGGGTCATCTCCTGGAAGGCCTTTTCTGACATCTCTTCCATCAGAAGTAACTGCTCTTGCGGCACCTGGGTGGCTCAATGGGTTAAAGCCTCTGTCTTTGGCTCAGGTCATGATCCCAGGGTTCTGGGATCGAGCCCCGCATCGGGCTCTCTGCTCAGCGGGGAGCCTGCTTCCTCCTCTCTCTCTGCCTCCCTCTCTGCCTATTTGTGATCTCTGTCCATCCAATAAATAAATAAAATCTTAAAAAAAAAAAAAAAAAGAAGTAATTGCTCTTTCCTCTAACCTCCAAGAGGACTTCCGCCTTTCTCAGTTTGACGTCTGGTATGCTGGCCACTGCCTGGGCATCTGTGTCTGTCACCTGCCTCAACAGCGAGCCTCTGAGGTCAAGAACAGCAGCTCTCTCAATGCCTGAAATGCTGCCTGCCCCACAACAGCGCTCACTGTTAATTGAATCGAACCAAAATCGCTAATCCGCCTCAAATTTTCAACACCAGAGTGCCCAACAGGTCAGTCAGTCACTCATTCCTGGTGACAGTGTGGTGGGCTCTGAGTGGGCACAGACACAGAACCATTGGTCCCAACACAGTGTCTCCTGGGAGTGATGTCTGCTAAGAATTCAGGCCCAGAACAAAAGCAAAAATTAACAATCAGGACCACACCGAAACAAAGAGTTTTGCACAGCAAAGGAAACCATCAACAAAATGAAAAGGCAACCTACAGGATGGGAGAAGATACTGGCAAATGACCTATTCCATAAGGAGTTAATATTCAAAATATACAAAGAACAGCTCAACATAAAAAAAAAAAAAAACAACACAAATAACCCAATTTAGAAAATGGGGAGAGGACCTGAGTAGACATTTTTCCCAAGAAGACACCCAGATGGCCAACAGACCCTAAAAAGGTGCTCGACATCGCTCGTCATCAAGGAATTGCAAATCAAAACCACAATGGGCGATCCCTCACACCAGTCAGAACAGCTAGTATCAACAACACAAGAAATAACAAGCATTGGTGAGGATGTGGTAGAGAGGCAACCTCTGGGTTCTGCTGGTGGGAACAGAAATAGACACAACCATTTTGGAAAGCAGTATGGAGGTTTCTCAATAAAAACAGAAATATTGGAGCACCTGCGGGGCTCAGTGGGTTAAAGCCTCTGCCTTCAGCTCAGGTCATGGTCTCAGGGTCCTGAGATCGAGTCCCGCATCAGGCTGTCTGCTCGGCGGGGAGCCTGCTTCCCTCTCTCTCTGCCTGTCTCTCTGTCTAATTGTGATCTCTGTCTACCAAATAAATAAATAAATAAATAAACAAATAAATAAATAAATAAATAAAAACAGAAATATCATACATTTGGGTATCTACCCAAAGAAAAGGAAAACACTAATTCGAAAATACATCTACACCCCATGTTCATTACAGAATCATTTTTTTAAAAGATTTTATTTATTTGAGAGAAAGACAAAAATAGCAATAGAGAGCAGGAGTTGGGAGGAGAGAGAGAAGCAGGCTCCCCGCCGAACAGGGAGCCCGATTCCAGGATCCTGGGGTCATGACCTTAGCTGAAGGCAGACACTTAACTGACTGTGCCACCCAGGTGCCCCCATTACATCATTATTTACAATAGCCAAGATATGGACGAAACCTGTGTTCACTGATAGACAAACAGATAAAGGAAATGTGGTGTGTCTATGTATTCTCTACATATTCTATATATGCTCTAATTATATATATATATGAAATGAAATATTAATCAGTCATAAAAAAGGACTGAGATCCTGCCAAATGAAATATTCAGAGAATGGCAAATGCCATTTGATTTCACTCATATACATAAAACCTAAAAATGGGGCACCTGGGTGGTTCAGTGGGTTGAGCCTCTGCCTTCGGCTCAGGTCATGATCTCAAGGTCATAGGATTGAGCCCCTCATAGGGCTCTCTGCTCAGCACGGAGCCTACTTCCACACACCAGCCCCCTCCCCCCCACCCCTGCCACCTGCTGCTCTGACTACTTGTGATCTCTGTCTGTCAAATACATAAATAAAATCTTAAAAAAAAATAAAACCTAAAAAAAAAATGAACAAATAAACAACAAAAATAGACTCATAAATACAGAGACCTGGTAGTTGCCAGAGATGAGGAGAGTTGGAGGGTGGGCAAAATAGGTGTAGGGGATTAAGAGGTTCCGACTTCCCGCTATAAAATAAATAATTCCCAGGAATGGAAAGTACAGCGTACGGAATATAGTCACTAATACTGTAGCAACATTGCACAGTACGGTAAATACACGTACAGTGGTAAGCACCGCGTAATGTATAGAATTGTCAAATCCCTATTTAATACACCTGAAACTAATATAATATTGTATGTCGGTACTTCAATATATAACATTTTTAAAATTTTTTCTTAAAAAAAGGATCTGGACCTAACTAGAGTTGCCCAGAATCCTTGCTGTAGAAACAGCACGCCAAACTAAAAGGCTTTTTGCACAGCAATGGAAACCATCCACACAATGAAAAGGCAACCTACTGAATGCGAGAAGAAAGGGTACCTCCTGGAGAAAGGGCAAGCTTTCCTTCACCTCCCATCTTCTCCTCACGGGGGCCACCACCCCAGTCAAGGTCAGGCATCATTCTCACCATTTCATCAGTCCTCCCCTGACTCCGACCATAAGGGCTCTCACCCTCCTCTAAACTTCTGACTCCTAATCTGCTCTAAATTAGGTACCATCTTGAGTCATCTTTCCTCCTAAATTTACATCTGTGTTTGACCAGATGAGGGCAGATAAAGGCTGGGATTAAATCCCAGGCCCCTCACCTTTTCTGTCTGGATATACCTCTTTCTTTCTAGCTTAAAACCTTCCCGTGTGGCTCCATAAGGAGCTGATTTGGTCAGAAAATGCCACTCTTTGAGTTAGGACATTTAGCCTGTTGTCTAAAAACACCTGGAGAGCTCTGGTGGCCAATTCCTGATTAGGAAGTGGGCTCCCAAGTGGAGACCCCCCTTCACCCCGGCCCCATTGTGCACCAGACAGCAGAACCCGCACGCAGCAGGCTGCCGCAACACCGCCCCCTTACAAAACCGTCAGCGGGGGTTCTAGCCCCTCACCTCTAATAAAACTAGAGGAAACCACAGAGCCGAGCACCGACGGGAACCAAGTGGGAGATGAAAACAGATGGGGGCTGTCGGGCACCCGCCAACTCTTGCAACCTGACGTCCGACCAGACGGCTCCCACGGGGAGGGACCTTCCCTCCAAGAACCCTCTGGAAGTCTCCTCTGCCGGGTTCCCCGCACTTCCCCTGGGGCCAGCCCCAAATCGTAGGCCTCTACCCAGGAGCCTGCCCCTCCCACGCCACCCCCCTCCTCCCTCACCTTCCTGCCCACCCACCTGCCTCGGTCTGGGTGGCAGGAAGGGAGGTGCTGGGCACCGGCCGTGAAGAGCAACCCCCCCCCACACACCCACACACACAACCTCGCGCTCAGAGCTGCCGCCGCCCACACCCAGGCTGCGTCCCCCACGGGCCTCGCGGTCCTCCCCCGCCATGCCTCTCACTGATCCCTGGATTCCCAGCCCGTGGACGCCGTCCTGGGACTACTCGGGGTCCGGCGACCTGGAGGATCTGGAGCCGTGCCTGGTCCGGGACCTGCCCTACAGCTACGCCTACGTGCCCGTGCTCTACCTGGCGGCCTTCGTGGTGGGCCTGCTGGGCAACTCCTTCGTGGTGTGGCTGCTGGCCGGGCGGCGCGGCCCGCGGCGGCTCGTGGACACCTTCGTGCTGCACCTGGCCGCCGCCGACCTGGGCCTCGTGCTGACGCTGCCGCTGTGGGCCGTGGCGACGGCGCGCGGCGGCCGCTGGCCCTTCGGCGAGGGCCTGTGCAAGCTCAGCGGCTTCGCGCTGGCCGGCACGCGCTGCGCAGGCGCGCTGCTGCTGGCCGGGCTCAGCGTGGACCGCTACCTGGCGGTGGTGAAGCTGCTCGACGCGCGGCCGCTGCGCACCCCGCGCTGCGCGCTGGCCGCCTGCTGCGGCGTCTGGGCCACGGCGCTCCTGGCCGGCCTGCCCTCCCTGGCCTACCGGGAGCTGCAGCCCCTCCCCGGCGGCCGGGGCAGCCAGTGCGGGGAGGAGCCCTCCGACGCCTTCCAGGCGCTGAGCCTGCTGCTGCTGCTGCTCACCTGCGCGCTGCCCCTGGGCGTCAGCCTGGTCTGCTACTGCCTCATCTCGCGCCGCCTGCGCCGGCCGCCGCACCTGGGCCGGGCCCGGAGGAACTCGCTGCGCATCATCTTCGCCGTCGAGGGCGCGTTCCTGGGCTCCTGGCTGCCCTTCGGCGCCCTGCGGGCCGTCTTCCACCTGGCGCGGCTGGGGGCGCTGCCGCTGCCCTGCGGCCTGCTGCTGACGCTGCGCTGGGGCCTCAGCATCGCCACCTGCCTGGCCTTCGTCAACAGCTGCGCCAACCCGCTCATCTACCTGCTGCTGGACCGCTCGTTCCGCACCCGGGCCTGGCGCGGGGTCTGCGGACGCCCCGACCGCCCGGCGCGCGGGGGCAGCTCGGCGTCCTCGCTCTCCAGGGACGACAGCTCCGTGTTCCGGAGCCCCGCCGGCAGCTGGGAGCGAGCGCGGACGGCTAGCGCTGGCCCGGCCCTGCTCTAGCTTGTCCCCAGCCTGGCGGAGGTGGCGGCCCCGGAGCCCGCAGGGGAGGGAGGCCCGGGGGACCGAGGGGGAGAGACTCCCCACACGTGCCTTCTCTGATGCCGGCAGCGCGCTCGGGCCGGCACTGCCTGGACTCCCAGGGCCGCCTCCATCAGCTTTCTCAGGACCTCAGCGCTTTTGGAACTCCCGCCCCCAAACCAGCCTGCTGAGAGCAGCCGTTCTCTCAGCCCAGTGGGCAATGGGGCTGATTTCTTCAGTCCAATAAAGGTCTAAGGAGATGAAGCAGGCAGCAGTCTGGACACCCACAGGTTCACCAAGTAGAAGGAAGGGAAATGGTTTCCTTCTCTGCCCCATTGGGAATGGCGCTGGTCAGAATACCAAACACAGCCCACCCACCCCCAAAAGCTATGCTATCCCCGGCTGTGCTTTCTCTGAACTCCTACAATAGCCACTGCCTTCTGAGAAATACCTTATCGAAGTCAGACCCTCTGGCCCTCTCACTCTCCAAAAAATTCTATAGAATATGGGAATTGACAGCCCTTTTGCCTTTGGTCATCTTTGTAGCTGTCTATGCTGTATCATTAGTCACTATCAGTTCAGGTTTGCATTTTCAAAGCTCACCAAAGCTGTGGGGACTAGCCTCAGGTGCACTGTCCACTTAATTCCTCCTGACAATTTCCCGGAAAGTGCTAGGACTACCCTAGTTTTGTATCCTCTCCCCATTCCTATGAAGCAGATAGACCTACCCTGGAAATTATCTTGGCCCTTCCCTCTGGACAGAAGATTCTGAAATCTTTCACCAGACATTCAAATTCTCTATCACTCAGCCGGGGACACCAGAATCGTCCGTGTCAGTTACCGTTCTCAATAAAAACTTGCTAGCCTGAGCTTGACAATCATGTCTTTCTTTACTTGAGCAGTGGGAGTGAAATGAATGTTGGGAGGAAAATCCAATCCTGGGTCAGACAAAATCAATCCAGTAGTTGAGGTTAACCTCAGATGATCAGGATTTAGTGCAATGTCAGGAACCTAGACAGTTAGCGGCACCATTGCGGGTGCAGTAATCCTACAGAAAGGCAGCAAATCCTTTGCTTTTATTATTTTAAAGGACGTTTCACATTTTGAAGGTTACAAAAAAAAAAAAAAAAAAGACGTAAGGGCATCTGCTAGCCAGGTGTCCCTTCAAAGAGGAAATGAGTCACTGTGATTTTTTTGAATGTGTACTGGGCATTTTTCCCTATCCTTTTTGAGACCGTCTATCCATTTTCTGACTCTGACTTACCCTTTGAGGTTTCTGGAAGGTTTGGGAATTCGGTTTATACTTTTGATTTAAGAGGATTTGGCCTAAAGGAATGTCAGTGCAAGGACAGGAAGGTAATTCTCCTTGAGAACCGCCTCCCAGCCAGCTCTCCATCAGGCCGATCATAAAGCTGCAGGCTTGGGCGGGGGCACCTCCTGAGATCCGTGCTAGGTTGCATCTGAATCCAGGGCATTCATTCTCAAGCTGCTTAACCCCCTACCTAATACCACTGCATTTGTCTTTAGCATTTGGGGGTGTTGGATTAAAATGAATTGAATGTCACAGCCCACTGTGACCCCACCTGTCAGCTGCTTCTCAGTAGGTGAGGCTGTTAAGAAAGATTAAGCACATTCCTCCCACACACCCAGAGCGAGGCAAGACTTGGAGTCTGTGGGGTCCCTGCCAGTAGGACAAATTCAGACACCCTTACAGTTTAAGAGCTCAAGTCTCCCATGGATGGCTCTTCTATGCTCACCATCGCTCTCGGAGGCAAGAAATTATTGTTCGTCAGGGTGTCTGGCTGGCTCAGTCCAAGAAGCATGGGACTCCTGTTCTCAGGGTCATGGGCTAGAGCCCCGTGCTGGGTGTAGAGATTACTTAAGTAAATATATAAATCTTCAAAAGAAAGAAAGAAATTATTCTATGCCATATGGTGGGCTTGCAAGATAGGGAAGGTAGCTCTCATGTGGGTTGGGATGTGGGGAACGAAACCTCAGCTCACAAGCGAAGCGCTTGCTTCTCTTGGCTGTTCCACTTCTACCCTACCACTTTACTTCTCCTGACTTCCAGGACTCATTGAGCTCCCTCAACATTTCCCTCCCAATGCAGAATTCCAGCTGACGGGGGTGAGGGTTGGGGGGCTGGGGAAGTGTGCGCACGCGTACACAGACACACACGATACAGACACGACATGGAGAGAAAGTTCCCTCCCTTTGTTTGCGAAAGTCACCTAATTAGCCTGCCTTGGGGGTCCTTGGAAATTTTCTTTTATACTCACACAAGAGTGAAAGAGGACCAGCAAACTTCCAGTTTTCACAGAGGAAGACAAGGCGTAGGTTCAGGAAAGAGCTGGTTCAATGAGCACCCCCGTATGTATTGCCAAAGGGCAGATTCTTTTATTTTCTTTATTTTTTTAAAAGATTTTATTTATTTATTTGACAGAGAGAGAGAGAGAGAAAGAGTGTGTGCACAAGCAGGCAGAGCTGCAGGCAAAGGGAGAGGAAGAAGCAGGCTCCCCGCTGAGCAGGGAGCCTGATGCAGGGCTTGATCCCAAGACTGAGCCCCAGGCAGACACTTAATGGACTGAGCCAGCCGGGCACCCAAAGGGCAGATTCTTTTAGAAAGCAATTTGTCGTGGCACCTGGGTGGCTCAGTGGGTTAAAGCCTCTGCCTTCAGCTCAGGTCATGATCCCAGGGTCCTGGGATCGAGCCCCACATCGGGCTCTCTGCTTAGCAGGGAGACTGCTTCCTCCTCTCTCTCTGCCTGCCTCTCTGCCTGCTTGTGATCTCTCTGTCAAATAAATAAATAAAATATTTAAAAAAAAAAGAAAGCAATTTGTCAATCAATATGCAGAGCTTTAAAAAATATTCAATCCCATCCCTCCAAATTCTTCATTCTCTGTGACCCTGTGATTTCATGTTCACCTTTCTCTACTAAGACAATAATACTAAATAAGAAAATTTGATGCACTAAGTTCTAAAACATTCTTAAAGACTGAGCCTGAAAGGGAGGCCCTCCTTAACATAACTGTTATGCAGATTCTTAAGATGTTGCTTAAAGGAGAGATCGGAAAATGTGGACCATAAAAGAAAAGAAGGCAACAAGGTTTCGTGTGTTGAACACCCAATCACTTCAAGCTCGATAACTGTTCAAGGGGTTTGGGTAAAGCAAAACATTACATGCCACGAAATCAAAGTCACGTGGACAAAAACTATCTTTTGCTCTTTGCTTTCTCTCCCACAAGTTTGAAGCATCCCAGGTATGTTGCTTTTCTCGTGGTGCTAAGGAAGGAAATGCCATCTGTCTTACTTCTTTTTTCCTTGTTTGTCTCTCCCATCAGAATAAGGGCTCCCTAAGTGAAGGGAGTTTGCTTTATTCAGTGCCGTGTCCCCACGTGTCCCCATTTCCGGGAACACTGCCTGGCATGGCTGGGGCATTCATGAACCACCTGTCGAAGGAATGATCATCCGAACCACACCACAATATGAAATAATAGGATATATTGTGAGGAGTAGGAGGAATGTAAGTCATTTTATGTATGTTTGATAAAAGGGCACAGAAGAAAGTCTAGAGGAAACTCAATAAATGTTAGCAGTGATTGTGTTAGAGTAGGGGGATTACAGATCCCTCCCTCCATCTCTTTATTCCTGAAATTTGTGTAACTTTTCTTTTAAGGGCAGTTCTCCAAGGGCTGTGAAACTGCCAAACTCGGGGTGGAGGGTGGCTAACATCGTCCTGGGTCCTGCCTCCCACTGCCACAACGAGCTGCCTGTCCTGGGGTGTCTCCCTGGCTGTGGGCCTCACTTTCTTCATCTTGAAGGATGGAGATGATTATGTCTGCTTGGGCTGCCTGGTAGATCAAAGTAAATCATGTTCTTGAAAGTACTTTGTGAGCTGTGGTGTTTTAGACAAACAAACCACAGGAGCCCCGCCTTGGGATTATCTGGTTCCAGGCCTGGCTGCCCCCGCCCCATCATCCCCATCCCCACCCCCTCCCCTCCCTGCCCTGGCCTTCCGCGTGCCCTCACCGTCCTGCCCTCGCTGTGGGCTGTGGCGGTGAGAAGGGTGGAGCTGCTCTGGGGTTTGAAAAGGTCACCATCCACTCTACTCAAATTAAAAAAATAGATTAAAAAAAAAGAAAAGAAAAAGAAGTCAGCGCCTGGTCAAAGGCTGGGCACATTTGCCATGTGTGACTCTGACTTCATTCTTGTGACTAATTCTGGGCCTTTTTTCTCACCTCCCTTGACCTCCAGGGTTCTTTCTCAGGGCACAGTGTGGGAACCCAGGCCTCCCTCTGGGGTGATGAGTGATCTGAGGAGTTCAGAAGAATGGCAGAGCTGGCAAAGTTGCCCTTGATGATATGACTCAGTCCCCGTGTCGCTCTGGGGGTAAAGTGAGGACTGTGGACACTCGTGAGGGCTTCTGATGTGGCAGACCTTATCAAGTCTAAATCCCTCCCTTACTGGGGCGGAGAGACCCGAAGGAAGCTCCTGACCAGCCCCTGCCTGGTTCAAGACCCCAGCCCCTGGAGAAGAGGACAAATGACAGAAAGACCCACAGCCAACAGACCAGGGGATGCTTGGAAAGGGAGAGGAAAAGACGAAGCAAAGATATGCCATCGCTTGCTCTTCCTCTTCATGATCACCAAAGTCAAAAGTGTGTCCTGGGTGTGTGATGGTATCTTGCGTAAAAGCAGACACCACCCGAGATTCACTACCTCACAGATTCACTACCTCACAGTACTTGTGAGAGCTAGAAACCCATTCTGAGGGTTCTAAGAGGACCCTGAGCATCAGAGATGGGAAGTCACTTGTTTAAGGCAATAATAACACCACTTGTGTCCGTGTAACACACCACAAATATTTAAAGAGCACACACACAGAATTTCATCAATTCTCATGACCCTACAGTAGGCAGGAACGATTAGCTTCATTTTAGGGACGTTGAAACTGACAAGAGGATTGGTCAAGGTCATGGAGAAGCAGACAATGCTGATCAAACCTTGGTAGAACCCTCCTGCCCTCTCTTCTCCTGCTACCCCTT